CGTGTGCATGTGTGTATGCGTGTGAGTGTGCGTGTGCGCATGTGTGTATGCGTGCATGCGTGTGAGTGTGCGTGTGCGTGTGCATGTGTGTATGCGTGTGAGTGTGTGTTTGCGTGCGTGTGTGTGTTTGCATGCGTGTGTATGTGTGCGCGCGTGTGAGGGTGTGCGTTTGTGTGTGTGCGTGCGTTCGTTCGTGCGTGCGTGCGTGCGTGCGTTTACAGAGAGAGAATGAATGTGTGTATGGATGCGAGCCCTATCTGTCTGTGCAATTCCACCCTAATCGGCCGTGTAGTTAGTGTTTTACCTGCTCAATATTTGCCTACACCGTCTGCCAGCGTTGATTGCAAATAACCCACCGCCACTCCTTTATTACGCTCCGTCGGTGTCTGTGCGTGGATTCAAACGTGGCGTGTACACATAATCATATATAAGTCAATATAGGATTCGATAACTGCATAACATTGTCTTTTATTAAATCCTGTTCATGCACATAATAGCTTTCTTAATGCTATCCTCCTTCGCTAACCGTGACATTTCGTGCATTTTCGTTCCAGCATATCATGATTTACTAACTTTCGTCATACCATAATCGCCTACACAGCATTATAGATCCGCTGTAACTCTATACCGTAGCCAGTGATAGAGAAGATGGCGGTGAATTCTATATTCTCCACACTACAGAATCGAAGCAGACCAGTACTAAATGAACGAACTACGCAACTACGCAGCGTGCCGTTGTCCGAAAGATAATAAAGTTATGACATTTTAAACTTAATGGTAGTCTTAACTACTAATGATCTTTCTGACGACCTTCCCCAGAATGTCAAATAGTTGTCCTCTATTGGCTGTTGAAGCACTGAATGCCTTTAGGCAGAACAACTGGGGGTTTAATGCGATGAGGTCTCCTAAATACTGAGGTCTCCTAAATAGACACTTCGAAGGGATCAGCTGTGAGTCGTGATGACGGTTTCTCTTATTCAGTCGTGTAACGTACATCTATTCTTGCAACCTCAGCAATACTATATCAGCGGCACAAATCTAAACGGCTCGACCTAGGCTCGTGATAGTCGGTGTATAGCATCATGCTGGAAAAGCCATCACTGTGCCGAAATTGGAGGTCACAGGTCAAAGGGCAGTGGGGGAAAGGTCAGATATCAGACATTTTCTGAGGACGTGGCCTAACGGACAGAGTGAAAAACTTTTTTGTTTCAGCACTGACCTACCGTTTTTATAACTTTATTGAAAGGACCATGAAATGTGCTTTCCACTG